GAGTTCGTGCAGGAGGCAGCAGCAGCCAGTCGGCCAGGCTGCTCCGGAGCGCAGAGGGGGGTCCGGGTCCGGGTCCGGGAACGCGGACGGCGGCGACTCACGGCCGGTCCATCCGCAACACAACTCAGCCCGGAGCAAGCGACACCTGGAGGGGGTCCTGAAGAAGTACACCAACCTGCTCCAGGGCTGGCAGAGCAGGTGGGTACCTGAGGGAGGGAGTGGGAGGTGTTGTTTTTATTCTGTAGGGGATTAAAAAAAACACATGTCGCTTAAATAATCATTATGTTATATAATATCCCTGCTGGATCAGAGCAGTGAATCCCACTCAATCTATATATGACATCCACATTTTTACAATTTCCTTCAGTGCTCTTCAAACTCTTAAATCTATTTCTAAAGATCTATTTATTTTATTTATAAGTTGGGCTTCATTCACAAAAAAATCAACTATATGTTCACATTGGTGTCGAATACCTGAAGTTAGACTCTTTTGAAAATAGATCATGTTTTCTGTATGGATGTGAGTGTTTGAGACATGGGCGTGGGGGGAAGGTGGGACCCTTACGGAGGCCCCAATAGAGGAGGAAGAGGCCCTTTCTGGGGATGAAATATTGTTTTTGTTGTGATTTGTTGCTCTCTCTCTAAGTCACAAATGTCACAGGAGAGGTAAAATTGGTCCATAAACGAACACGACTCTTAATTCTTACAATCTTTCTTACATTTTTTTTTTAGATCAGTGATTCCCAACTGGTGGGTCGGGAACTAAAGTGGGTCATGCAGACGTTTTTAGTAGGTCAAGAATGTCTGCCTGGAAAAAAAAAATGGTGTCAAAAAGTCTATGAGGCGTCTTATCAACATGTTTGTTTTCTTCCATCTAAGCTGCACTATTTTTAATTTGATTTCTCATAAAGTCGTTGCTGGTGGGTCCTGAGGAGAGACCAAATGAGGACCACTGTTTTTAGATGCTTAAAACGGATTCAAATTCCAAAAAGATGCAGATACCAATTTATTTCATACTTACATTTTAAAACAGTTTGTAACTCAAACTTAAAGTGGTTTAAAGTAGTCACGATGCTGCGATATGATTCTAGCAGCAACAACAACAAAAGATATCGATACCTGTTCAATACCATGGCAACGAAAATAGACCTCTTTGGGTGCCTTACCCAATATTGGGCAATTTATTAATTATTAAAGATTGCAAGCAAACTCCTGCACACTGTCTAAATTGCACAAAAAAATTGGCAACTTTTCATTTCTTAAAACAGGACCGATGTATTTTTAAGGACTCATCCTTCTCTTACACACCTGTCTTATGAAACAGATTTGTTTTTTTAAGCTTCAGATCTTGTGGTTAGTATCCATCGTTAGAATAAAAGATTGTATCCTTTAAAAACATGCTGTGTTGCAAAGTTTAGAAGGAGGGCAATTTTGATATTGCAAAGCTTTTAATGGGTCGTTAGTGTAATGCAGGTGTAGTTGTGGTAATATCGCAGGGTTAGGGGATGCTGTGGTGGAGGGGCCTGATGTGATATCTTTGTAGAAACTCTGGATTCCTGGACCGCCCCCTGGATTCAATTCACCTCTTTTGCTCTGAACAAATACAGCCATGCACTCTCCCATTTAGGCCACATCGTTTTTATATAATCGAATTCTATCCATTCCTCATGTTTGAGTGAGGTGTATTATTTCATGAATGTCAATCAAATTCCCTCTGTGTGAGAGAAATAACAAAAAGCAATACCAATGTATATCTCTTTATAAGTCGACATTTCTTCAAGGTCACATCACAACCAACTTCAGACATCATCCACCTGAGGCACCGCTCTTTAAACCATCAGATCATGTTATCATTCATACAGTTTTCTATGCTCAGACTGAGTGAATGAACTGAAGCTCAGATGTGTTCACAGAGGAGGTGTGTGGGTGGGAGTCCCACAAACACTGAATGAGTCATCCAGGATCAGGAAAGCCCTGCACTCCTCTCCTGCATCTCAATCCTTACTCCCCCCCCCCCCCTCCTCTCCAGCCCTCTCACTCTTTTACCGCCCGCCCGCCCTCCCTCTCTCTCTTTTACTGTCCAAGTGGATCGATGGGAAAAGCATCCAAACGTGTAATGAGATCCGTGATCACACTTCGACAGCGTGTGGTGTACTTACTTCCTCTCAAACACACACACACACTCACTCACAGCGCTGTACTTGGCTCTTGCACTCAGAGATACAAGATAAATTAAAGTTTGTGTGTGTGTGTGTGTGTGTGTGTGTGTGTCAGCAGGTTGCGTGTGTTTCTGAGGATGAAATGAATATTTCTGGTGTGTCAGCCTGAGGACAGATGACGTTGGTTCATTTTTGTATCTCCACCCTGATTGTTTTTTTTTTTTTTATTGTTGTTCTCACAGTCAGAAGGGATTATGTTGTTATTCTGCGGTTTACTCAGGATACACATAGAGTTTAATGATAACAGTTTTTTGTCCCCAAGGACAGCTGCAGCCTCAAGAACTTGTCAAACTTTGCAGCGCTCAAACGTCATTATATCATTATTTTTTATCCTGGACTTAGCTATCATTGCAGGGACCAGGACCATTATAGAATCAGGAGCAGAGGGGGGTGGTCTAGTGGTGCTCATGGGAATCGTTCCTCTCAATGGACTGTTGTCTTTATCTACAACACCTTATGATTGGGCGGCATCCTTGTCTCCAAGGAAGTTGGAATTGATTGTTTGGCGGCTTTTGTTCAATCTGTCACACACCAACACCAAGCAGGCACTGAAGCAGGACCAAGACCTCTGGATCTGAGGCCAGGACACGATACAGTCTTTACTATATAATAGGTGATAAGGTGTGAAACGGTTAATACTAGACATGTGATTAAACTTCGTGATTCTTATCTTCTGAGATTCATAACTTCCAAAAATCTTTTTTTTTGAGCTAATCAGTCACTCCCTGCTAAGTGCTAATGCTAGCTCTTTAACTCAGTAGAAATGGAGCAGCTAGAAATTCAGCCAGTCTCACAGACGACTGGAGTAGATCCTGAAGTACGTACTCATTCTAACAAAGACTTTGAATCCAGAATACGTTTTGAATCAAAAATTGAATCTAAATCGAATCGTGACCCCAAGAGTCAAAATCAAATCGTGAAACATCCAAAGATTCCCGGCCCGAGTCAATACGATACGGTACGAGACGATATATGTACGAAACAGTACGATACAACACGATGGGATGTGATACGAGTCGAAATGATACGATACAATAAGGCACAGTGCGTTGCTTACTGTACTATTTGATATCATTACACATGAGATATGACACTTTACAATGGGATACCTCATGTTCCCTACAATAAGATACTTTCAATACCTTCTTTTGGATTCAATGTGATACGATAGTACCATACCTAACAAAACCATGCGATCATTGCTATAAGATGCCATACAATCATTACTGTATGACGTGATAAGATACAATATGATCGATACAAATATTCAGTACAGTACACAGATTGTGATACAACACCATATGATACAGTACGGTACAGTTTTGATGATTACTTAACGATGCCAATTCCAAGACTAATACATTGGGATTTAATTTATTCCTAATACGACACATTACAATACTGCACCCCGACACATCGTATTGCATTTCATCACATCGAGTTACATCGCACACTTTTTTGTCTCCTTGGAAAAATGGTTATGGAGACACATTTAGCTTCCTCTGCAAGGCAAGTTTATTTATATAGCACCTTTCAGACACCAGGTAATTCAAAGTGCTTTACCTAGGCACAAAAAGCATTTCAAACATTTCACAAGATAATAATAAAACAATAAACAAAACCTGAGAAGGCAATACAAGTTGAGGTAAAAACAAAAAAAAGGTAAAAATAAGATCTACAGTAGAATCAATACATAAAACCAATACAAACAACACCCAAATATAAAAAGAGAAGCACTTACCAATGAAAACCCCAAACAACATATATTACACATTCACTATATTGAAAAAGATCTGCACAGTTTGGTTTGCTCTCGGGGGCTCAGTATCGTCTGAGATCAGACTCAGAGAGGGAATGTGAGACGAGTCAGGCAAAGCTCAGAGCTGACCTAACTACAGCCAATTAAAGATATGTCTTTGTTTCTTTTTTTATTCTCTCTCTCTCTTCTCTTTGCAGGTATTTTGTTCTGGACCCAGAAGCCGGTCAGCTTCAGTACTTTCTGAATGAAGTCAGTAAAAATCAGCGACCCCCCCGAGGGTTCCTGCCCCTCCTCGGAGCGATGGTGATCTCCAGTGACAAGTTTCAATACATGTTCACGATCAAATCTAGCGCTGGGGATACGTACAAACTGAGAGGTGAGAGATGTGTCTTCATGCTTTGTTCAAAGGAAACCACAGTGAAAGATCTGATGTCACATGTGTGGTGTTTTTAAACTCCTGCTGTGCAAAAAAAAACAAAATATAGATACTCTATAAAAAAAGGAAAATGTATATTTAGTAGGCTATATTCTTTAGGATGTAAGTTTGTGTTTGACGCAGACTTTTAAATCGAGGATGTTGGAGTGTTCATGACTGAAGCTTTCAAAGAGTTTCAGAAAGTTGAGCAGAGACATGGAGAAGTGGGACAGATCTCTGGGGAAAATGTCTTGTTGTGCAGTCAGAAGTCAGAATAGGACTGTCAAAAATAAGACCTCAATTTCCATAGAATACCGTCGCCTTTTTATATAAACGCAGACGTCCTTACATCTTCTACAGCTGCGTTTCTTGTCCTTGCCTCGTCGATCCTTAATGCACCAAAAACCATCGGGCAAATTTTGTATTCAATGTCCTCGACATACCGCAAAGTACAACATCGAATGCGTCAAGAGATTTCTCTTCTATGAGGTTTTCTTAAGTACAGATTCTGGGTTTCTCAACAAGGTGTACAAAGAAGTCTGTCTGTCCACACTGTAATTTTGACCATTTGGTAGGATCTTGACCCACTGACAGGACAGAGAGTACGCGTCAGGAAACCTCCCCCCTTTGCTAAGTGTTAGCTTGTTACTGTAAATCAAATTGTCTTCCACTTCCAAACATTTTAAATAAATGGAGAAGGCGTTTAGATGGTCCATAACTTTGTGACATGAATTGACTGCATGCTATTGCTGGCTATCTTTCTGCCATCAGTTGGGCCACACCCACAAAACACATCATCAATGTGAACAGAAAATGGTCCATGCTTTTGTGTTTTGTGAATTTAAATACATTTTTGGCATGATGTTAATTTGGACTCAGGTTGTGACCTCACCAGAAAGAGGAAGTCAAACGTGTGGTCTAATATCATGTTAGAACTTATAGTGTTCAAAAAAGATAGTTTCTAGTGACTATGACTTCCAAACCTTTCTCGTTGAAACACATATATTTAGACGATACTATTTTCTGCATTTCAGTGAGATAGTAAAAAACCCATAATATCGATAACTGTTTTAAACAAATTGATTAAATGACTCCCAATATTGAGTTTTTTCTTGTTTTTGATTTCCAAAAATTGCAAGCAAACTCCTGCACACTGTTTACACAACACACACATACGTAGCAACATGACATTACTGTACATTACATAAATGTAATAAAGACTGTGCTCTCTCTCTCTCTTTCATACGCTGAAGCTTTTGAATAAGAACTCGACAGAAGATCTAAATTTTTTCTTAAAGCTTACTGATACTATCGATAATTAAACAGAGATTGTATCGTTTTACAACATGTGGTAACAGAAAAGTGTTGAAGCATCAAAACATTTGACAACCTTGATAACAAGTATGGAGTCATGTCGGTGTGTTTACAGAACACTGAAATAAACAAGCAATGACCATGAAAACAACGGAGGAATGATCGGAAATAAACAGGAAGAAATAAGAGGATTAAAAAGCAATCGTGGTAAAAGGTCATAAACCTGATGGTATTGCACAACAATGGAAACTGTATGTGTGTATTATGTCAGAGACAGACACACACACACACACACACACACACACACACACACTCTCTGACACTGTGCGATCTTCTTCTTCTTGTCAGCTCTGGACGCTCAGCAGCAGGAGTTATGGATGACTCAGCTTCAACTGTGCTCCAGACGCCACTCTGACAGCAAGGTACACACACACACACACACACACACACACACACACACACACACACACACACACACACACACACAAAAACATTGTTGGAAATGGTTGCAGTTCGGGCGCAAGAGTCTAATTTTGCATTTTGTTGACGCCCTAAATACATTTTCACGTCATGTCCTCATAAAACATTTCAGACAGACTGCCCATGAAATCTTCCTGAGCTGCTTATTGAAACATGTCACTCACAGCGTGATTTTTTCCTGACAAACTGGAGTTGGGGGGTCTCAGAGAGGGGGGCAAAAGATGTTGTAAAATAGGGAAGTTGCAGATAGCCAACACTCTGGAGTCCAACACCATAAGGAATGTTTGTAGCCTTTATATCAATGCTTCTTGTAATTGGACTTATTCTTAGTGACATCAAACAAGTGGTGAAGAACATTCTGACGAGCAGAAAGAGCCTCATCAGTGCAGGATTATTGAAACTCACTGGTTGCTCGCTGGTCACACATTTTGAATGTCATCACCCCCGCCTGCTCGCTCTTAGTTAAATTTTCCTGAAATGACCCGCTGCATTCACACAGAAGCTCAGCCCACTTCAAGCAGAAAATGTACTGGATCGAGTCGTGGGGAAAAGGTCATCCATTTGTGTTCAAACATGCAGATAACCCAGGAAGTTTTGTGCACTTTAATACTAATAGTTACCTCTTTCGGACAGATTATTATTAATTTCCAGTGAGACTAAGTCTGTCCATGAAAACAAATGTTACATTTAAGTGAAAGAAAGGCTTTTGTGTTAAAAAAACAAAACAATCAAACAAGTATTCCATTACGATATTAAATAAAGTTTCCTTGCTAAAGAAACATTAGCCTATTTAACATTTGCACTCCTGAAAATTTCTCGTAAACTTCTGGCTGACTGCCCCTGAAACGTTTTCTATGATATAAATGTCCTACCCTTCCTGGCTTGCAGTGATCTTTCCTGATTATATCCAGCTGCCTTCTTACATTACCTTACCTGGAATTCATGCAGAAACTTAATCGGAGGCTAACAGGAAAAACTGTGGGTAAAGTCAGAGTCCATCCATCTGTACCGCTTTGCCCATTCAGGGTATGCGCAGGGTCTGGAGCTGATCCCAGCTGTCATTGGGCGAGAGGCGGGGGGGTTACATCCTGGACTGGTCGCCAGTCAATCACAGGGCTGACATATAGAGACAGACATCCAGCCACGTTCACATTCACATAATTCAGAGTCACCATTTTGGACTGTACCGACTCCGGCGTCCATGCAAACAACAGGGAGTCGAACCAGGAACCTTCTCGCTGTGAGGTAACAGCACTAACCACTTCAACCACAGTGCATCTGTAAAGTCAGAGCGAAAACAATATCCGATTGCTGTCACACATGCAGCTCAATTGGAAGAAAAAAAACGTCAGTAAGTCAGAGTTTTTGTGCAAGTGTGAAAGCACCAACTGTCTCTTAAACATAAGAGTGTCTGGATGGTGTGACACAAAACATGTTGCGATCTGCAGAAACTAGCTTGACATTGTTGTGTTATTCTGTGAGACCAGTCTGGACTTTAAATTGATCTTCATCCTTTCAACTTTATGCATTGATCCTCTTCTCCTCTCCGCCCTCTTATTGGATTACAGCTCCTCTGAATGTTCGGAGAAGTGCTCGGTCAGACGGACCGGTTTGGTTTCTGGACTTAATGGACCAGACTTCATTTTCATCCTCTGCATGTTTAAGTCCCTCTGCTGTATTCTGCTTATTCAGCCCCGCTTTTTCGTCCTCTGAGCTCAGACAGCTGAACACTCAGTGATGTGATCGGAGTAAAATGCTTCCTGTCACTGCTTTTGTCCTTCTAGAGACCTCGCAGTGACTTCAGAGTTTTGATAAAGAGGAGAGGTGACAGGGACCGCGTGGTTTATTTATAATCTGAGTTGTTCTCAGAGAACTTCACTCTGATGGATCCATCGTCTGCTTCAAAGTCAGCTCTGAACTTTTCAATCAAAGTTTTGCTCTTGAACAAACACAGAGTTTGTTTAAGTTGTTGGTGTAGGTGTGCTGTCATTACACACCTGAACAGGCTGTTTAACAGAGGGAGCAAGCAGATGAATCGAAGTGTTATTTCTTTTAAAATAATATCATCTCTTGAAATGAAACGTAATAGTTATAAATTAGCATTTTCATTACTATTTGTGCAAATGTATCTGTAGCCTCCGTCACCCTTTATTAAACGTCAAGACAAGGAAAGTCATTTAAAGATGTACTGAAACATATTTTCCTTTTCACAGAGTCTGATTAACAAACTATTACAGAGCAATTAATCCTCCTCGGCTCTCCAAATATCAGTCTGTGTCTCCATCTGTGTCTGCAGAGAGAGAGAGCTCTGATTTTGCTCTCTCTCCAGTTTTTACTGTGATGATCTTTGTTCCAAACAGTGAGAGGACAAAAGAGCTTATGCAGCACATGAATATATTTATAATAAAAGGATGTGAGTCAGCTGGCTGCAGAGACAGAGTCTATCCTCTGTCGGTCCTCTGTCTGTTTACTGTCAGAGATCTCTCTGTCCCCTTTTGACTCTGTCGGACCTCTCTATGTCCTCTTTTGTCTCTTCACTGTTGGACCTCATTCTGCCCTCTCTCTTGACTCTGTCAGACCTCATTCTGTCCTCTCTCTTGACTCTGTCGGACCTCTCTCTGTCCTCTCTCTTGACTCTGTCAGACCTCATTCTGTCCTCTCTCTTGACTCTGTCGGACCTCTCTCTGTCCTCTTTTGTCTCTTCACTGTTGGACCTCAAATATGCCCTCTCTCTTGACTCTGTCAGACCTCATTCTGTCCTCTCTCTTGATTCTGTCGGACCTCAAATATGCCCTCTCTCTTGACTCTGTCAGACCTCATTCTGTCCTCTCTCTTGATTCTGTCGGACCTCTCTCTGTCCTCTTTTGTCTCTTTACTGTCGGACCTCATTCTGTCCTCTCTCTTGACTCTGTCGGACCTCTCTGTCCTCTTTTGTGTCTTACTGTCTGACCTCATTCTGTCCTCTTTTGTCTCTTCACTGTCGGACCTCTCTCTGTCCTCTCTCTTGACTCTGTCAGACCTCATTCTGTCCTCTCTCTTGACTCTGTCGGACCTCTCTCTGTCATCTTTTGTCTCTTCACTGTCGGACCTCTCTCTGTCCTCTTTTGTCTCTTTACTGTCGGACCTCATTCGGTCCTCTCTCTTGACTCTGTCGGACCGCACTCTGTCCTCTTTTGTCTCTTTACTGTCGGACCTCATTCGGTCCTCTCTCTTGACTCTGTTGGACCTCTCTCTGTCATCTTTTGTCTCTTCACTGTCGGATCTCATTCTGTCCTCTTTTGTCTCTTCACTGTCGGACCTCTCTCTGTCCTCTCTCTTGACTCTGTCAGACCTCATTCTGTCCTCTCTCTTGACTCTATCAGACCTCTCTCTGTTCTCTTTTGTCTCTTTACTGTCAGACCTCATTCTGTCCTCTCTCTTGACTCTGTCGGACCTCTCTCTGTCCTCTTTTGTCTCTTTACTGTCGGACCTCATTCTGTCCTCTCTCTTGACTCTGTCGGACCGCATTCTGTCCTCTTTTGTCTCTTTACTGTCGGACCTCATTCTGTTCTCTCTCTTGACTCTGTCGGACCTCTCTCTGTCCTCTTTTGTCTCTTTACTGTCGGACCTCATTCTGTCCTCTCTCTTGATTCTGTCGGACCTCTCTCTGTCCTCTTTTGTCTCTTTACTGTCAGACCTCTCTCTGTCCTCTTTTGTCTCTTTACTGTCTGACCTCATTCTGTCCTCATCTCTTACAAACAGGCTGGAGGTTACACCTGCAGAGGCAGAAATGCAAAAAAAAAACCTATTTAATCCCCATAGGGCCCCAAGTGGAAATGTCAAGTTTACAACAGACATACATATTTTCACAGCCTGGTACAAAAGTTGCAGAGCACACAGAAGTTGGTTTAAGTTGCTTGATTATTCATAGGTGTGTTTTAGATATAACATGGATCAAACCAATCAGAGTGTGAGCTCTCACTCGCTTTAAGAGCCAGGTACGCCTGCAGGCTGGAACGTTGTTATTGACATGAAAGCACTCCAGCCGACTAATTTAACTTCTCTCCTTTCACGGTGCCACTGAAGACACACTGTATGAAATATGTTGATGGCAGAAAAGAGTAAAACATGGTGGAGAGTTTGCTGTTGGCCGTGGGAGTGAACGAGGGATCTAGGAGACAGCGGGGAGCGATTCTTCATCATCTGACATCACCAGACCTGCCTGGAAGGTCCTAGATTTGGGGGAAACATCTTTTTTTTTTTTTTTACAAAACTATGGACGCAAAGTTTAAGCTGGTGATATTGATAGGAAGGATTTGAATGTGTTGTATCTGTGGAAGTGTGTGTTTTAATGTGTGTGTGTGTGTGTGTGTGTGTGTGTGTTTTGCACACAGGATTTGAACTGTGATCACACTGAGTCTTGTTTTAGCTCCTCTCTGTTGAAGTGAGATGATGACTCAGCCTCTCCTGAGAGTCTGTGATGTGAGTGAAGAACAATTTCCGGCTGTGGGTTTTTGCAACTGAGAGCGTCTGAGAGTGTGTGTGTGTGTGTGTGTTGACGCGTGTGAGCGAAAGAGAGTGTGTGTTAGTAGGATAGGCAACACATGAAATTACACAATAAGAGACATTTTTATGTCTGCATCTAACCTGTGTTTGTGCTGCTTTATTTCCCTGCCTACCAGCGACGCTTAAAACCAGACAATAACAGCATCCAGTGTTTGCTTTGTTGGAGAAGTGTTGTGATGGTTTTAAAAAATAACTTCAACTCGATTGTCTTGATTTAAATGGTCCTTTAATCTTCTCCGACTTCATGCATTGTGAAATGTGTTTTCTATGAATTCATTAAGCATTTCCATAAATTATTATTTTTTTGTACTAATGCTACTGGTGTGCAATGATTGAATGCAGCTCTTAGCTGATTGTGCTCCCATGTAAAGGATAAGGAAAGGCATTTTCAGTCATCTCATTATTCAAATATTCAATTAATACCCTCCTTTAAGAGGTAAAAGTCTGACACGCTCAAACTTCCAAAGCTAAAGGAGAAAATGTGAGAATCTGGGGTTGTTCCTAGCTAATGCTGTGAGGTAGATGAATATCTACTTTTATCAGTCAGTGAGCTGTTACCATGACGCTGACGTTAACATGAATATCATAAATACTGTGTTTCTGTGTGTGTTCAGGCGATGAGTCCAGATGAAGGGCAGCAGAAGAACCTGGTGAACTCTGTAGAGTGTCTGGCCACTAGAAGAGGACCGCTCTCTGCTCTGGATGAGGTAACATGTCATGTAACTGTGTGTTTATGGTCGCCAACATTTTCATTAGTCAAGGACCAGAGAAAAAAATAATAATCTACTCACTGCTTATATGGATGAGTGTTTAGTAAAAGGTCACTCCGTGTCAATTTATGTGCAATATGAAGCTATGAGCAAACTAAACTAACCTGCTAACACAACAATGCAGGGCAATTGTATCTCGAGCAAAGGACAATATTGTCCACTACTTGCACTTAATGGTGCTTAATTATGGTGCGTTGTAATTGATAACTCCTCCATGTGAACGCGAGTGGAGAGGGGTTGGAGGTTTGTCGCTGGAGAGAGCGGAGGCTACAGAATAGCAGAGGTGTCACCAAAAACAGCAGTTTGTTTTGGTTTAATGCCGTGCTCAAGGGCGACATCTATTGGATCAAAAAGTCACACATTCTTCATTCAATGAACCTGTTTTCTTCCCAAAAAGGAACCAGAAACCTCTGTCTGAGGATCATTTTTTGGTATTTTTATTACAGAAAGTGAGCTTGACCTCAAGTGTCACATTCTGTCATCGTGTTACTGAAAGATAAAGTTAAGCTTTTATGGATATTAATGATTCTATTCTCAACTTGGGACACCTTGTAGCCCCCTTATTGACCTCTGACAGTCCGGACTCTGATTTGAGAAAGTAATATTCTTTTTCCCCCTGTATGTCCAGTATGTATTGCAAAAATTGAAGCTAAAGATGACTTTGACTTTTGACTAATAAGGGACGGTTAGCAAAGCTATGTGTGTCTAAAGCAGACTGTAGTTTCCTGGGGCCTAGCAGGAAAAAAAAACAGGTATATTTCTTTAAAAATGTGTTAACACTACAGAGATAACGGTAGGAAGGAGGGAGCAGAATGTGCGAGCGAAGAGAGGGGGAGAGAGATGAGTTTGAATTTTCTGTGAATTGCCAGAATAAATTCAATTGAAGTTTTGGGCCTGTTCCTGAAAGTTTGCTCTATTGCATCAAAAGGTGTGGAGTTTCTCATGCCCATATTGCATTAGACACCATGTGAGAGCGTGACCTCCTCTTTACCTGTGTGTAATGGTGTCTATGGGAGGTGTGGGCTCAGCAGAGTGCTCTGAACAACGAGGAGATATTGACACTGTATGTACCTGTTCCTATTTATATGTCCATGTCTGTGTTGGTCTCTAAAGTAAGGCATGGTCACTTGCCTTTGTCAAACCAGAAACAACAAAAACAGTCTCTGAAAAAGAAGTGTTTATGATGGATTCATGTTGGGATTTGTTGATAATATCTCTCTCTCCTCCTCTCTCATTGAAGGACCTGCTCCTCTTCAAAGCCACCTCCGCAGCCACTCTGAGCTGCCTGGGTGGGTGTCTCTCCATGCTGCAGCACAACGTGGTCCAGGCTCTCAACCAGAACCAGAACCACATCGGCAGTCCCAGCCTGAGCCACAGTTCAGCCGGTTTGAGCCCGTCGGCTCCCGCGGAGAGAGTCAGACCAAGGAGTGTGCACACGGCAGAGCCCGGAGGTCTGAGGTCCAGCAGTCAGAGCCCGACACCCAGCCTCAGTGAGAGTCAAAACACACCAGTGCCACCAATCACATCCAGACCCAGAGCCCGCTACGAGCTCCTGCAGCTGAGCTGAGAGACGGGAGGACAGGTTAGAAATCTCTTTCACATCTTCGTCTCATAATCACCGAACGGGATGAAACAGCATTTTGATAATTGCATAATTGTCACTTATATTTAAACAGAATCCAATAAACTAATTAATAAAATGGCCGTCAATGGAATGGAATGACTGCTTTAAAAGAATGAATGGGAATGAAAACTGCAGTAAAAGCAACATGTCCAGCTTAATGTCAACTGACTTAAAACTGCAGGGGGAAAAAGTCGTTTGTCAGACCAGGAAGAAGAAGTGATGCGAGGAGTCGTTGTTTGTATTTTATTTAAAAAATTTTTCTTTTTTGGGTTAATGGTTCTTATGATGACACAGTATGGTTTTTTTTTTCCTCCTTCAGATGCCTCTATGGGATGGTCCCGGTGTGCCTCTGAGAAGAAGGTGAAGAACGGAGCTCTTCCGTCCTCCTCCACCTGTCAGTCTTCATCGCAGACAGACAAAGACACAGTCTGTCCTCCTCAGGTAAAACTCTAAATTATTTTATTATACCTCACTGATCTCCTTATCTTATACTTTACATCCCATTATAAGTCACTGCACAATTCTCAAATCCCACCAAATGTTTCTCGTTGCTCCACCCGTTGTTGCGGGGACTTGGCCTCAGTGTCCAAAGTGAATTACACTGATTTTATAATAGTTTAAAAAACACTCATATTTATCACCATGCTCATTGTGTAAATCCTCAAGTGCAAAGTTTAACACCCAACCATCAGAGCCTTGAACACATAAATGTTTATTTTTCATATTCACTGTTTGTGCTCATACTAATGAAAAGTAATGCACAATAATTCAGGTTTAACTCGATACTCCCGGAATCCTACATTCTTACCTGAGACATATTAGTCACCTCTCTGGGAGAGGACAAACAGGAAGCACAGCATTGTACTCCTCTGTGTAACAAAATGCCAACTTAGAGTTTGGATTTTACTGGACGCCATGATGAGTTTCAAAATGTAGCTTTTAGTTTTTGTGCCTAAAACTAACTAAAAAGACTGAACAATGATTATACAGAAGGAAAACTGACACTTGTAATAGAAATCAAGTATATCCTCTGAAAATAACTCTGTGAGTCATGACTGTCTACAATGGGTGTAACACCCGAGTCCCACTGTCTGTGATGTTTTCAGAGTTTTCAGAGTCCTATCTTCACTTTGTTTACATCGCCAGGACGGCTGGCTGACTCCTCCCCTCACGTATAAAAAGTTGTTTAATTGAGGGACTAGAGAAAAGAAGAATAACATACTGTACTCACTGCTTAACTGTGTTTCTAGATCACGCTCATTTCAGGTAAATTTACATGCAGTGTGAAGATACGAGCGTAATAAAGAGCGCTAACATTAGCATGCTAACACAACAATGCAGCGCGAGTTGTTTTGGTTTCATGCTGGTGCTCAAGGGCGACATCTGCTGGATCAAAAAATCACATATAAAGCCTTTAAGGTTACCCAAAAGAGATCTTAGCACACAATACAGTAAATAAAGAAAGAATCAAACTAATTAATTTGACCATTTCCCCACCTGGTCGTCAGAGCAGTACAGTGATTTTTCTATGAGTTTGTAACTCATGTAGGCCTAATAGCTGTGGTATATCATACGCCCTAATTACACATGCATCAAACTTCTGAAAATGTCTGAGTATTGGCCTATATGTTGTTGTAAACCCCCCCCCATCAGCCAGGGAAACCTCACACTGTGAGGGACAACTACAGAAGATTTCAGGGGCAGCCTGTCTGACATTTTCTGGATTTTTTCATGTGAAAACCAGAACATTTTATTAAACAGAGGATGTTCACAGGTTCATCTGGATGTTGGGAAAACTCTGCAGCTTGCATCATGACCAGCCCTATGCATTTCATATTGTTGTCATTTCATGTATGAAGCAATCGTTTTCAGTCTCTGTAGAGTACGGACTAATATGAATTGCTGGTAGAAAAGATAATCACTCACCAGACACAGTGTGGTGGTCCTTTAATTTTCTTTAAACCCTCCAGCTGCCCTCAAGTGGCCCTCCAGTTTTCTCTCCAAATGTCTTCTGCATTCCCACATGCTCCCTCCCCCTCTCCCTTTAATGAGCGTCATCGATCTCAGTCATTGGACCAGAGATGGACTCAGTGAAGTGCTCGTGTCTGTTATGCATCGAGGAAGAGTCTGTATCCATCTTTCTTCACTCATGTTTGTGCTTATGTGATTAACATATTTAAATATTAACATTCTCTTCATATCGCGTATTGGAAACAGCAGTTTGATGTCAGTGTTTTTACAGTTTTAGTGTTTTTTAAATGAATCAGTATGAAGCAAAGAGAAAGCCTCAGACGTGCCTTGAACCCTGCATTCTGTCTGATGGCCAGCAGGGGGCAGAAAATACTGAGGCAATAAATAAAGTAGAAGAAGGGTTTTTTTTTTCCAGAGACTTCTATACAATTAGAATTTTTTTGTACCTAATAAACATTTTCCTAACTCCAAATATGAAAGGAGTTTTTCATCACTCTTGTTTAAGCCTCCTCACATCTTCACATCTCTCCTCGTGAAGAAATCATTCATTCTCCACCGTCATGGAGGATCCTTCAATCCCCTTAAAACACAACGACATATATATATATATATATACACACACACACACACACACACACACACACACACACACACACACACACACACACACACACACACACACACCTGGTGTCTCCTCCTGGTGTCTCCTCCTGGTGTCTCCTTTGTTGTCTCCTCCTGGTGTCTCCTTCTGTTGTCTCTCCCTGGTATCTCCTTCTGTTGTCTCCTCCTGGTGTCTCCTTCTGTTGTCTCCTCCTGGTGTCTCCTTTTGTTGTCTCCTCCTGGTGTCTCCTTCTGTTGTCTCTCCCTGGTGTCTCCTTCTGTTGTCTCCCCCTGGTGTCTCCTTCTGTTGTCTCCTCCTGGTGTCTCCTTTTGTTGTCTCCTCCTGGTGTCTCCTTCTGTTGTCTCCTCCTTCTGTTGTCTCCCCTGGTGTCTCCTTCTGTTGTCTCCTCCTGGTGTCTCCTTCTGTTGTCTCCTCCTGGTGTCTCCTTTTGTTGTCTCCTCCTGGTGTCTCCTTCTGTTGTCTCTCCCTGGTATCTCCTTCTGTTGTCTCCTCCTGGTGTCTCCTTCTGTTGTCTCCCCCTGGTGTCTCCTTCTGTTGTCTCCTCCTGGTGTCTCCTTCTGTTGTCTCCCTGGTGTCTCCTTCTGTTGTCTCCTCCTGGTGTCTCCTTTTGTTGTCTCCTCCTGGTGTCTCCTTCTGTTGTCTCTCCCTGGTATCTCCTTCTGTTGTCTCCTCCTGGTGTCTCCTTCTAGTGTCTCCTCCTGGTGTCTCCTTGTGGTTCTCTCCCTGGTGTCTCCCCCTGGTGTCCCCCCCTGGTGTCTCCTTCTAGTGTCTCCTTCTTGTGTCTCCTCCTGGTGTTTCCTCCTGGTGTTTCCCCTGGTGTCTCCTTCTTGTGTCTCCCCCTGGTGTCTCCTTCTGTTGTCTCCTCCTGGTATCTCCTTCTAGTGTCTCCTCTGGTGTCTCCTTCTGTTGTCTCCTTCTGTTATCTCTCCCTGGTGTCTCCTTCTAGTGTCTCCTCCTGGTGTCTCCTTGTGGTTCTCTCCCTGGTGTCTCCTTCTAGTGTCTCCTTCTTGTGTCTCCTTCTGGTTTCTCCTTCTGGTGTCTCCTCCTAGTGTCTCCTTCTTGTGTCTCCTCCTGGTGTTTCCTCCTGTGTTTCCCCTGGTGTCTCCTTCTTGTGTCTCCCCCTGGTGTCTCCTTCTGTTGTCTCCTCCTGGTATCTCCTTCTAGTGTCTCCTCCTGGTGTCTCCTTCTGTTGTCTCCTTCTGTTATCTCTCCCTGGTGTCTCCTTCTAGTGTCTCCTTCTTGTGTCTCCTTCTTGTGTCTCCCCCTGGTGTCTCCTTCTTGTGTCTTCTCCTGGTGTTTCCTCCTGGTGTCCCCCTGGTGTCTCCTTCTAGTGTCTCCTTCTGGTGTTTCCTCCTGGTGTGTCTCCCCTGGTGTCTCCTTCTAGTGTCTCCTTCTGGGTTTCCTCCTGGTGTGTCTCCCCCTGGTGTCTCCTTCTAGTGTCTCCTTCTTGTGTCTCCTTCTGGTGTCTCTTTCTGGTGTCTCCTCCTGGTGTCTCCTTCTTGTGTCTCCTCCTGGTGTTTCCTCCTGGCGTGTCTCCCCTGGTGTCTCCCCTGGTCTCTCCTTCTAGTGTCTCCTTCTTGTGTCTCCTTCTGGTGTCTCCCCCTGGTCTCTCCTTCTAGTGTCTCCTTCTAGTGTCTCCTTCTGGTGTCTACTTCTGTGTCTCTCCCTGGTGTCTCCTTCTAGTGTCTCCTCCTGGTCTCTCCTTCTAGTGTCTCCCCCTGGTGTCTCTCCCTGACACTGCAGTTGTGAGTGAAAGCTGGCCTCAGTCATGTCACTCTCCAGATAAGCGGCTCCCTCTGGGAATTTATTGTTGCATTTACAAGTATCAAATAAATCAGACAATAACACTTTTTTTTGGTGGGTGTTTGTTGAGGAATAAATCAAAGGTCTTATATCTGGGCCATTAAGGTTCATAAAAAAGGGTTTGCCTCAGTTTTTTTCTATTTTTCTATCCATTGTTATGTCAACATTTTTTTTAAGTTACCTTTTTTTTATTTACATTTTGGCGGTTTTTTTTTTTAACCTTGATTGTATAAGACTGCTGAAGAGAGATGACAAAGACTAAAGCCTCTGTACTGTACATGGTGTTTTGTAAACTTGTACACTTCTGTTAAGTCTGCAGTCTTTGCATTTCTGCAGCTTTCCGCAGCTTTCAGCATCATCATCTGCTCTCACATTTTAATGCTGTAGTGGGTTTCAACAAAGGTGAAGGTGGAGTCTAGAAGCTGAGATAGTTGTCAGACCTTTAGGGACCGTGAAGCAGCAGCTGAGAACACACAGCTACACATATTAATTTAAACAGCTCAGCCAAGAAAACTTTTATCAGTGTTTGTGGAGAAAAAACCAACACACCTCATATGTAATTCATTCATATCAAAAACACATCAATACATTTATGTGTCAGTCATGTGAAGGTGCTGATGTTTAGAAGTCAGATGATCTTATAATCTCCTGGTTGCCATGACAGCAAACGAGGAATTACAAGTTTAACCTGAATCCATCTGATGGGAGGAGGATTAACTCGAGATTATATCCAAGTGTCTTGATTCTTCAGCGGCGTCCCACTCGCTCCAACGCTCACAGCCCTGAATCAGGCACCGTGTGTGTGTTTAGGCGTAATATGAAATAATGTATTCATGTGACCTGTGTTTTAACATCCCGTTATGTTTCAGTCTCCTGATCATGTTTGTGCTGAAAACAGTCATGTGTGCTCATCTGCAGCTGCTCTCCTGAGTGAAAGGAGTCATGGGATGTTAGAGGGATTACAAAGAGGTGGAGATACCTACACAAGCACTAACTCACCAATAAACACACTGTGCATGTACACATTATGTTTTCCA